AGTTTTTGCTTTTCAAAATGTCAATAAAGTTTTTATTGATTTTTATTTCCGTTTTTTTTTTTTTTTTAGTACATCAAGTTAAACTGACAGAAATGAGAAATACTGCTCTGGCAACTAGCATTTGATATTTTTTCAGTTCACATTTATTTTATATCAGGTAAAAAATGTTTTTAATGGTTTTGGTTTGTTAACTATAATAATCCTGCATGTACTTAGATGTTTTAATGGTTATTTTCAGTAATTTGTCATGGCTAGCGTTGACATGCGTGTTAATGGTGTTGTGTGTCTCAGGGAAGCGCGGCGTGCTGAAGCGGCCGTGGTCGGAGGCGGAGCGAGTCGCCGTGGAGACGCACCTGAAGAGGAACATCATGGAGCTGCGTGTTCCTGCGAAAGCGGACTGTGAGCGATGCCTGCAGCTCTGCCCTCTGCTGGTCAGTAACCAGCGCGACTGGAGAGCCATCAAGTTCTACTGCCACAACCGCATCCAGCTCCTGAAGAAACAGGGACGCAGAGACGGGAACACCGCCGCCGTCTGCTAACCACAGTAACACACACACAGAGACACACACACACACAGACACACACACAGATGACACAGATGTTGTGTTTTGTTTGATAACTGTTCTTCTAAGCTAGCACACAGTGCAGTCACACACACACTTCCCACATTCCCCGTGTGTGTGTCTCTCGGACCATGTCTCTGTCAAACTAAGGAACTGTTTCACACGCCGGTGTTCAGACTCAGAAGCGCAGCGTCGATGAACTGAAGTAGGTTTGGTGACGCTACTGCGTGACTCTCTCTATGGACTGTTTTTACGTGACTGGCGTCATTCGTTCGGTGCAGTGATGGATCCGGACTGGTTTTTCTGGAGCTGTGTGTAAACAGTGTTGGATAATTCGAGGTCAGTCTTACCTCACGCGTCTGGAGTCTGACAGACATCAGTCTGCACCTCTGGAGATCTGCTCTATCATCAGAATCAATCTCACAAACAACACGTCCAGATCATAATTCACACTCAGATCAACAGAAAATACAGGAAATCATTTTTTGCATAAAGATAATGATGCCTGGTTATATTATCCTCTTTGCTTTTTCTATTTTTCTACATTACCAGTAATATCGGCACGGTTTCCCGCCACATGATAAAAAAAATAAAATGGGTAATTTGTGACTTTTTACCTTCACAATTACACTTTTTTTTTTTTTTCGGGCAAAAAAGTCAGAATTGTGAAATAAAAAGTTGCAATTACCTTTTTTGTGTTTTTTTTTCTCAAAATGTTGCAATTACATTTTTAATCTTTTTTTCCTCAAAAAAACAGATTTTTTTTTTTTTTTTAATTCTTAAATTCTTAATTTTTTTAGGTAACCATTGGCTTACCTCAAATTAACAAAATCATCAAACAAAACATAATTCCTGGACATTTTACTTTTGATTTGTTTTTAATGTTTGTCATAATCAATAGTGGATACAATACTGTGATACTTTGACTATTTGCATACGCAGAGGAAATACAGGAAATAGTGCCATAGCGTACAGATATTTTGCCATTTAAATTGTTTTTTTTCAGAATACGTTTTTTTTGCATTACGTAAAAAAATATTTGTAGCTAAAAAGTTCTTAAATGTCTCAAAAATAGCATCAAAACGCAGAAAATCCCAGTGGTCTGTGATTTTTGGCTTCATTTTCTTCATGCAAAAGTGTCTTTTTTGCGTTTCTGAGTGAGCTATGATCTGGACCTGTTTGTGAGATTCATCCGTCTGTATTTTGAAGTGCTGTTTGCCTTAACTTTTGTTGTGTTATTGGATTTATATTGAGCTCGTCTGGCTGCAGCTGGTATTAAACCCAATCACATTCTCTCGTTTCTATGCATCATTTGGAGATCAGTGGCGTTTCATTCCGTCGGACTTTATGTTGCTCCTCTGTGCCAATGCGAACACGAGTGGGTGTTGTTTTTGTGAAATCTCTGGCGTCAGACTGTTGAAGAAGCTCCTCGCTCTCTCTCCTGTACAGTCGTCTGATCTCTGGTCTGTGTGCAGTGACGTATCGTAACATGATATTAGCCGTTAGAGTGTTTCACTGCGTGATGATGTACATCAGATTTTAGAGAGACGATATCTTGACAAACACAGAGCTTAATGTCACGCTGCAAAGAAAACCTTTGAATTTCAGATGGTCGTGTCTTTATTAAATTACAAACACATGGAAACATCAGTCGTGTGTATCTGGATGTCATTTATGATTCATACTTCTTACACAACACAAGCTCACGTGCTGCAGCACTGAAAGTTATCAGTCATCATCAATGCTAAATAACCTCTGGTGCTCTTTGGTCATTTTTGGCATTTTGGTTTTTTAGTATATTTTACTTCATGGGAATGGTGTGAAGCTTGGTAAAGGTTTTTGCACTTGCTATGTGAACACATACATACACACAAGGACATGGTTTGAAAATCATGTTTTGACTGTCATGATGTGTGCATGAACGAGTGTGAAATACCTGCTAATTACGTTGCTTTTTCCCATCACTTATATTGGGCACTTTTGCATTTAAACTGGATTATTCTGACTGCTGACATTGAAAATGATGCATGTGTAGTTTTGAGGGTATCAGTTCATTTCTTGATTGCCTTTTGACAGTGTCTCCTTGCATGTTTTATTCATGTTCAGTAGCCTAATTCTCTTTAATGTAGGCTACTTGCCCCGATTTGATAAGTTTAAGTTACCTGGGAAATGTATCTAACGTTATATTTGTATTTATATTATTTTGTCGTCATTAGAGTTAAAAATGGCCCTTATCAACCTTTATTTACATATTCCATCACATTATTTTGACAAAGTTTTGGGCGGTTTTTGTGAGCTTTTGGGCTGGAAATCGTCCATCCAATCTGGCAACACTGCCTGTATACACATCAAGTGTCGAAGAAGCTGCTTTTTATATTTAGACTCATCTTAATTGTACTAGCTCAACGTTAAGCACTTAATGAGTCTGAATTCGTCCGGTTGCTGAATGTAAATCGGTGACTTGTGGGACTTCAATCCTGAAAGACAGTCGCCTGATTAAGGCAGCGGCTGAGAAGTTCACTCCGTTAGTTTGCATTGTTTAAACTGCTTTTGTTGGTGTTTTCTGCCAAGTTCGCGTATTTTAGATTCGTGTGCGCACGCAATGTGAACACATCGTTTGAGCTCGGGATTAATACTGTGGGGGGAAACTGGCTCGTTCTGTTCAAGTGTGATCCTGTTTACGTCCTAAATTGAAGGAATCTACCTTCACAATTAAGTTGCTTTCGACTGAAAATAAATTGTAAACTGGATTGCATTCGGCCTTTATCCCGAAGCTGGTGAGTGGAAATTTAGGTTGACTTGTTTTAGTCCTGTTTGTTTAATAAAAAACAAACAAAACAAGTCCCTACATCATCTGCTTCACTGCCTGCTTTTACTAGTCAGTCATCTGTAATCCTAAATCTAAATACAGAGCATAATGCAAATTAGTTTTGGTTACATCAGAGTATCCCTGATACTCAAATTGTTTAACTCAAATGAATCCTAAAAGAGATGATGCTGAATTTTCATTTGGTTTAAAGGTGTGGAGTAACTGTGATTTACTGCTATATCTACTAATATTTTAAGCAAAATACTGTGACGTTGATTACATTGATATACAGTGGTACTGATTATACCATGTTACCAATGTGTGTTTGGTGGCTGATGGGTTATTGCTTGTGCAGACGCTGTGAAAGTGCACGCTCATCTGTTGACATTAGATAGAAGTGTAACTTGAGTGACTTGGAAATGGAAATCTCTGCTCACACTTTGAATGTTATTTTCAATGTAAAATATGTGGGCTTTAGTAAGTGGCAAGATCACACACAAACTTTCTTGTCTCTGAAAAGAGCAGTTGGAGTATTTGTGTGTCGTCATGAGGATTGATTTGATCTTTGTGCTGATTTCAGGTGAGATTCATTCATTCATATTCATACGTATAAATATGATGTTCAAGAAATGGGTTATGCCATGGATTCCTCTGATGACGGTCACATGGCATGCAAAAAAAAAAAACAAGTAAATTCTTAAAAGTACATTCCTAAATTATTCACGTTCAAACCCTCAAGCTTTTACTTCGTCTGAATACTGTTGTAATTCTGCAAGCTGTCCACAGAAATGTTGGAAATTAAATGTGCGACTAAAGAGAAGCTCTCAGAACTGAGCACACCAACTCACGAGCTGTTCACATGAACACTTGTAACTCTTCTTGCAATTCTGTTTTTGTTTAATAAATTCGCAATTCTCAGAAAAAAAGTGTGAATTGTGATATATAAAGTGCAAGTGCAAGAAAAAAGAATTGTGAGATAAAAAGTCGCAATTACCTTTTTTAATTTTGTGTTCTGTGGCGGAAAAAACAAACAAAATCAGAATTGTGAGAAAAAAGTCAGTTTATTTCTCGCAATTCTGAGTTCATCTCTCGTAATTCTGAGAATTCCATGAAAATTTTCCTCGGAATTGTGAGGGAAAAATGTCAGAATACTTCTAGACGTTCCCTCCGAGCCCCATGTGGGAAAACCTGCATAGGGTGTTTTAGATGTGATTACACCCAGGTGAAAAAAAAACTTCCAGTGCTCTGTTTTCGTATTCTTAAGTACTTAAGATGATCTTAAAGGGATAGTCCACCCAAAAATGAAAATGTGATGTTTATCTGCTTACCCCCAGGGCATCCAAGATGTAGGTGACTTTGTTTCTTTGATTAGCCGTAAAGCAAGAAGAAGAAGACACTCAGGACGCGCTCAGGACAGTTCAGACACTGCGGTGAAAATCAGAGGTAAAAACTATATAAATACTGTTCAGTTTCTTGCACAGACCGATCGTTTTGTGTCTTTTCACCAGGGCTTGAAAACGAAAAAAAAATTCGATCGGTTCACTCACTCCGAGCAGAATCGATATTTTAAGGTTTCTGTTCCTGCGTTCCTCTGTATTATTACCGTTCCGAAACCGGTTCAGGTAGAAGAAATACCAGTTAGTATCATTATTTTTATTTTTTTTTATTTTTTTCCTATATTAATAATAATAATAATAATAATAATAATAATAATAATAAAGTACAGTGTTTTCTTTACTCAAAAAGAAAAAGAAAAAAAAAACAAGAAGAGATCTGGTAACCTATCTTAACCCGCTGTGCTTAGTCACAGCCAATACAGCATCATCTTTTCTAGATTTTGGCCAAATGTAGGCTACTAAACAAAAGAAAAA